ATTTATATTTGACACAGCAGAGTAAGGTCCTACAGAAGGTGTCAGCAGTATTTGGTGGACTGATGACAGACACCAACTGTCTGGTTCATCACTGGAGTGTGGAGGCATTTACACAGTTTGCAGAGGACACTGTTCACGAGACTGTGGTCCCTGACTGTATGGCCCATGACAACAGACTCCAGGTCTGTGTGGTAGCCTACCTCAACAAGGTATAGTTGTACATCTGCCAAAGAAGTAAGGTCCCACATCAGAGATGTGAGTGGCCTATGGTAATTATTTCTGAAATTTTACACGGTGATATACCGTTATATGTAGATATGCAATATGGTTTTAACAATTTCCTAAGGTCGAGGTTAAGGTCACTTTCGAAAAAAGAACTCGGGATAACTGTCAAAAATACATTGTACATTTTGTATTTTCCTTTCTGACCTACAAGTGTTAATTCTGATGGTAATGTAACTTGGTGATTATCCTTTTAAGTAATGTGATGTGAATAAGATGCTGAAATCCAAGATGGCTTCCAATCAAAGACACTTTTAATTGGCTGAGACACATACAACTTTAAGTTTTATCTATTTGTTCCATTTTGTTTATACTTTGTAGTAACTGGTACTTAATGAATAGTCTATATGATAAATCGGACATATCATCTGGATCTCCTAATCCTATGAGCACTATATATGGCTTTTGATTGGCCGAGACCTTTCAGGCTATAACTTGTGTATTGTTGGTCTGGTTTTGTGTATAACACATCGTGATAACTCTAAATTGGTATTTGTTGTCTTACTTATTGTGTAATGCCTTGTTACCCTTTTTTCTGAAATATAAGACAGTCACTGTGGTTGCTCTGTGATATAGTAGGGGAAAATTAGGTCATAGAGCGGGGCCTTGCTGATCTGTCAGTGTTCAAGTTCTGTTCATCATTGCAACGTTTAACATGGGAACACTAGTAACCTACAAAATCTTCCGTTGGAGATCTACACAAGTAATATGCTCCTATCATAAATTCATATGTATAAAAAGGATGAACCGTGTTTGATGTTTCTTTATAGATGCCTTTTGTTGCCCAAGACGGTCCCCTTTCCCCTAAAGAGTGTATCCGTTGGTTGTGGAGGTGGGCAGAGAGATGTCAGTCACCCTCACACACCACTACAGAAGTAGGTATACAATGATCACCTCACACACCCCTACAGAAGTAGGTATACAATGATCACCTCACACAACACTACAGAAGTAGGTATACAATGATCACCTGACACACCACTACAGAAGTAGGTATACAATGATCACCTCACACACCACTACAGAAGTAGGTATACAATGATCACCTCACACACCACTACAGAAGTAGGTATACAATGATCACCTCACACACCACTACAGAAGTAGGTATACAATGATCACCTCACACACCACTACAGAAGTAGGTATACAATGATCACCTCACACACCACTACAGAAGTAGGTATACAATGATCACCTCACACACCACTACAGAAGTAGGTATACAATGATCACCTCACACACCACTACAGAAGTAGGTATACAATGATCACCTCACACACCACTACAGAAGTAGGTATACAATGATCACCTCACACACCACTACAGAAGTAGGTATACAATGATCACCTCACACACCACTACAGAAGTAGGTATACAATGATCACCTCACACACCACTACAGAAGTAGGTATACAATGATCACCTCACACACCACTACAGAAGTAGGTATACAATGATCACCTCACACACCACTACAGAAGTAGGTATACAATGATCACCTCACACACCACTACAGAAGTAGGTATACAATGATCACCTCACACACCACTACAGAAGTAGGTATACAATGATCACCTCACACACCACTACAGAAGTAGGTATACAATGATCACCTCACACACCACTACAGAAGTAGGTATACAATGATCACCTCACACACCACTACAGAAGTAGGTATACAATGATCACCTCACACACCACTACAGAAGTAGGTATACAATGATCACCTCACACACCACTACAGAAGTAGGTATACAATGATCACCTCACACACCACTACAGAAGTAGGTATACAATGATCACCTCACACACCACTACAGAAGTAGGTATACAATGATCACCTCACACACCACTACAGAAGTAGGTATACAATGATCACCTCACACACCACTACAGAAGTAGGTATACAATGATCACCTCACACACCACTACAGAAGTAGGTATACAATGATCACCTCACACACCACTACAGAAGTAGGTATACAATGATCACCTCACACACCACTACAGAAGTAGGTATACAATGATCACCTCACACACCACTACAGAAGTAGGTATACAATGATCACCTCACACACCACTACAGAAGTAGGTATACAATGATCACCTCACACACCACTACAGAAGTAGGTATACAATGATCACCTCACACACCACTACAGAAGTAGGTATACAATGATCACCTCACACACCACTACAGAAGTAGGTATACAATGATCACCTCACACACCACTACAGAAGTAGGTATACAATGATCACCTCACACACCACTACAGAAGTAGGTATACAATGATCACCTCACACACCACTACAGAAGTAGGTATACAATGATCACCTCACACACCACTACAGAAGTAGGTATACAATGATCACCTCACACACCACTACAGAAGTAGGTATACAATGATCACCTCACACACCACTACAGAAGTAGGTATACAATGATCACCTCACACACCACTACAGAAGTAGGTATACAATGATCACCTCACACACCACTACAGAAGTAGGTATACAATGATCACCTCACACACCACTACAGAAGTAGGTATACAATGATCACCTCACACACCACTACAGAAGTAGGTATACAATGATCACCTCACACACCACTACAGAAGTAGGTATACAATGATCACCTCACACACCACTACAGAAGTAGGTATACAATGATCACCTCACACACCACTACAGAAGTAGGTATACAATGATCACCTCACACACCACTACAGAAGTAGGTATACAATGATCACCTCACACACCACTACAGAAGTAGGTATACAATGATCACCTCACACACCACTACAGAAGTAGGTATACAATGATCACCCAAACGAGGTGCTTGGATGTTGAATGATTTTCAATCTGGCTCAGAATGTATTTGCATATAATATAAATTATGAAGTAAATTTATGGTGATATATGCTGGCTTGTCTCTTTCTTCCACCGTGTTTAAACAGATCTCATACATTTTGTGATTTAGGCTTTCTTTATCATTTACATCTGGTAATTCACTGTACTGTAAAAACCTATGTAATTTGCGCACTTTTTTTTCAGAAATTTAATACCCAAAGTGGGGGGTGCGTAAAAAACACAGGTATAGAAAATTTCAAGTTTTTTTCAGGAAGAGATCGACGATTCTGGGAGATCGCCATCTTGGATTATTTCCCTTGGTACACGAACTCTAAGACAAATGACGGTCAACAAATTTATTTATGTCAAACATTAATAAAAGATACATAATGTGTTGTTATCTGAGTTTATGTGAAAAGTATTATTAAATAGGTAACCGTTAACAAAGAAAGTTTAGCCAAATTCCTATGCCAGTATTGTAATTTGTATTGACTGTAGTGTTGAGAAGTGTCAATAATTTACGCTGAAGCATGCGATCGTACCTGGCCTATTGTCCGGGACCAGACGATATCGGTGAAATCATGCCATCCGGTTTACTTACCTGTAAATGTCGCAAAGCCAGTAGTCATGACCACAGATGACCGATTTTAATAATTTTACAGTAGGTAAAAATTGTGTGGCCAAAAAATATCGCCAAACCACGGACTTAGATAATCTAATTCCGTGGCCAAACTGAACTGTGACATGACCTGGTTTGAAGTGACGTAACCCAAGCCGCCATGATGAGCCCTTCTCACCGATCGTAATTATGATCAATAAAAGGTATCTAATTATGTCTTTCACCAGGAGATATGCACCAGCGGTTACTAAACATCGAATTACTTATTAATTGATATGTTTTTGTAAGCAAGTAAATGTTTTATCTAAAATATTGCTAAAATGAATTGATGTATGCCGATATGCGCACACGTGTGTCATGTGTGATCAGATGAGAAAACAAACAACAAATTACACATTTTACGTAGCTTCTTCTTGGTTATTAAATATCATTTTACATCAATGAAAAAAAAATCATAAGAAATATATTTAAAAAAATATATATTCAGAGATCGATTTTCGGAGCATGAACATCTTTTTTTTTCCAGATTTTTTGGGTGCGCAAAATATTCGAGTAGAAGCTTTTTTCCAGATTTTCAGCCTCAAAAAGTACCTGCGCAAATTACACAGGTGCGCAAGTTACACAGGTGCGCAAATTACATGGGTTTTTACAGTATTTATTATTCCCCTATCAGTACCACGGTATTTATTATTCCCCTATCAGTACCACTGTATTTATTATTCCCCTATCAGTACTACTGTATTTATTATTCCCCTATCAGTACTACTGTATTTATTATTTCCCTATCAGTACTACTGTATTTATTATTCCCCTATCAGTACTACTGGAAAGGTTTGCACTCACTCCATCAGTATGTCATTTTGGCAGAGGTATATCTTTCATACTGTCAAAACTACTATTGCCAAATTTTATCTGCATGTAAGTGTACCTCTTGGGATGGTGCAGCGTTGCATACTTAAAACACTGCCACTTACGTTTATCTCGCTCAAAATGATTGAACCAGTTGGACCAGAGTTGACCTAGTAATCAGTTGCTGTTTTCAGGAAAGCCTTGCAAGGCCTGCATAAACTTTATAAACTGCATAAAAGTCCACCAGGATTTATACCAAACAATATTACATTTAAAAATAGACGGACTAGTTGTTCCACATTGGACCCAGGTCTCATGCCCAACTATATACAGTTATGTCCCTTTGTTAATTTCTTATACCAAAGTGTGTCACCAAACCTGCCAAATTCTCAACAATGAAATGGCCATAGATTGTCAAAATGCACCTCATTTTAGGGGATGGAGACCAAACATTCCATCAAAGAGGTCGGCTCCATAGGTGTGGTAGGTATCCTTGGGTGGATAACTGGTGGTATAAACTGATTTGTTTTGGGGTGGATAACTGGTGGTATAAACTGATTTGTTTTGGGGTGGATAACTGGTGGTATAAACTGATTTGTTTTGGGGTGGATAACTGGTGGTATAAACTGATTTGTTTTGGGGTGGATAACTGGTGGTATAAACTGATTTGTTTTGGGGTGGATAACTGGTGGTATAAACTGATTTGTTTTGGGGTGGATAACTGGTGGTATAAACTGATTTGTTTTGGGGTGGATAAATGGTGGTATAAACTGATTTGTTTAAATATCACTTCTATGCTTTTCCCTTCAGCCATTACACAAGAAAGCCAGAACTACAGCCCCAACTGATGGCCTGATGGTGGTAAGTTGCATGTGTGAGGTTCAGATGAACTGTACAACTGATGGCCTGATGGCGGTAAGTGGCATGTGTGAGGTTCAGATGAACAGTACAACTGATGGTGGTAAGTGGCATGTGTGAGGTTCAGATGGACTGTACAACTGATGGCCTGATGGTGGTAAGTGGCGTGTGCGAGATTCAGATGAACAGTAATCCCCATTCAAGGCATCAGTTACCTAATTTCATTTTCCTATTGTTCAAACTTTAAAACATTGAAATTTTAAATGATCCACATTTGAATGGGTTAAAGTACCATTATTTACCTCTTTTAATGTTCTGTGTCCTCAGGCCCGCAGGACTGGTATTTATCAGGAAGTATTGGACACACTGAGGATCTGCGTACAGGGGTTGGAGCCGATCTGTACCAACAGTTCTAGATCTGGTGAAGCTTCCAGAGATTGTATAACCTCCAGTACAGAACAGTCTCATAACGTCATAATGACCAGTGTTGACAAACTTCAGGAAGGGGAGAGTTCCTGTGTGGCAAAACCTCAGGTAACACCCATGTGTGATCTGAACAAAACTACATCAAGTGTTAATCTATCGCCACAGCTTATTGCACATCTACAGTTGGCACAGCACAAAATTACTTCCCTCCTCACTGAACATGGCTAGAGCTTTGTCTTATTAAATTTTTACCAACTTTTTTGTCTTTTAGTTTTTTTCTTGTCATCATACAACTAAAAATCTTATCATGAATCATATCTGTAATCATTTTAAAATGAAAGCAAGACCAGTCGCCTGCTACCATTGGTTGCCCGATTGACAGATTTAACAATATATATATATTCTGGGTCTCGTCTTGGGTCTTCTAGCCATGTGCTACAAGTCTTGGATCTTCAAGCCATGTGTTCTATGGGTCTTGGATCTTCAAGCCATGTGCTATATGGGTCTTGAATCTTCTGGCCATGTGCTATGGGTCTTGGATCTTCTAGCCATGTGCTACGAGTCTTGGATCTTCTAGCCATGTGCTATGGGTCTTGGATCTTCTAGCTATGGGTCTTGGATCTTCAAGCCATGTGCTATGGGTCTTGGATCTTCAAGCCATGTGCTATATGGGTCTTGGATCTTCTAGCCATGTGCTACGAGTCTTGGATCTTCAAGCTATGTGCTTCGAGTCTTGGATCTTCTAGCCATGTGCTATGAGTCTCCTAGCCATGTGCTACGAGTCTTGGATCTTCTAGCCATGTGCTACGAGTCTTGGATCTTCAAGCCATGTGCTATATGGGTCTTGGATCTTCTAGCCATGTGCTATGAGTCTCCTAGCCATGTGCTATGGGTCTTGGATCTTCAAGCCATGTGCTATATGGGTCTTGGATCTTCTAGCCATGTGCTATGAGTCTCCTAGCCATGTGCTATGGGTCTTGAATCTTCTGGCCTTGTGCTATGGGTCTTCTAGCCATGTGCTACGAGTCTTGGATCTTCTAGCCATGTGCTATGGGTCTTGAATCTTCTGGCCTTGTGCTATGGGTCTCCTTGCCATGTGCTACGAGTCTTGGATCTTCTGGCCATGTGCTACGAGTCTTGGATCTTCTAGCCATGTGCTATGGGTCTTGGGTCTTTTTGCCATGAGTCTTGAACCTTCAAGACATGTGCTATGAGTCTCAGTGTTTCCCTATTGTTGTAAGCGGACATTACCTTACCAGTTAGTAGTACAAACTTGAGAACAAACACCGACTTAACAACTGAGTTTAACTCAGCAATATTTCAATTTTCATCATGATTTTATTGTATTAGCATTTTGTCAGATTTCAACACAATAACAATTTAACCATTTTTTCTATATTTAGCAGTCGCACATCTTGGTTATTTTGTAATCCCCCTTTGTGTGTAAAGGCATTCATACATTGCGGGCAGGACATTTACACACACACCTACTGGTCTCGCTATCCATACTTCTATAGGCCTTTAACAATAACAGAAAGCTCTCATGCATTTATCTGATAAAACACACTTTGCATACATGTACATTAAACTTAAGATGGAAAAAAACAGCAAATATAAAATCCAACACATGATTTAAAAATATCAAAATCAGGATAACCATTAAAGAGTTAAAAATATGTTGTTCATGCGACACTTCAACAAGAAGGTATGCTTAGTAACATGTGTTCCTCTTTGTATTCTCACGATCTTATTTATCTCTCGCTTACATTAAAATTATCTTCTCTTTGTCCATACACTGAACACAACTGGCCAACAACATCAATCTCAGAGTTTATCATCTACATCAAAAACAATCTCAGAGTTTATCATCCGAAATAAACACAATCAAGCAACGGTATCAACCAGTTCAGTTAAGACAACTAGATTTTATATATAACACCCCAGTTAAGGGAGCCTGAAAAGATTGTACAGTCCTGTCCAGTCAGACAGCTTTACTAGATTGTACAGTCCTGTCCAGTCAGACAGCTTTACTAGATTGTACAGGACAGTCCAGTCTGACAGCTTTACTAGATTGTACAGGACAGTCCAGTCAGACAGCTTTACTAGATTGTACAGGACAGTCTAGTCAGACAGCTTTACTAGATTGTACATGACAGCCCAGTCAGACAGCTTTACTAGATTGTACAGGACAGTCCAGTCAGACAGCTTTGCTAGATTGTACAGGACGGTCCAGTCAGACAGCATTACTAGATTGTACAGGAAAGTCCAGTCAGACAGTTTCACTAGATTGTACAGGGCAGTCTAGTCAGACAGCTTTACCAGATTATCCAGTCCTGTCCAGTCAGACAGCTTTACTAGATTGTACAGAACAGTCCAGCAAGACAGCTTTGCTAGATTGTACAGTAAAGGCCAGTCTGACAGCTTTACTAGATTGTTAACGACAGTCTAGTCAGAAAGCTTTACTAGATCGTACAGGACAGTCTAGTTAGACAGCTTTTCTAGATTGTACAGTCCTGTCCAGTCAGACAGCTTTACTAGATTGTACAGGACAGTCTAGTCAGACAGCTTTACTAGATTGTACAGGACAGTCTAGTCAGACAGCTTAACTAGATTGTACAGGACAGTCCAGTCAGACAGTTTTACTAGATTGTACAGGACAGTCTAGTCAGACAGTTTTACTAGATTGTACAGGACAGTCTAGTCAAACAGCTTTACTTAAACATCAATGTGAACACTACAAGTTATACCTTACATATACATGTGTACACCGATAAAAATTATGCCTTAAACATCAATGTGAACACAAGTTATACCTTAAAGCATAATTTATATTTGTATACACATGTACATGTAAGGCATAACTTGTGGTGTTCACATTCATGGTTAAAGCATAATTTATATTTTTGTACACATGTACATCAATGTGAACACCACAAGTTATGCCTTACATGTACATGTGTACAAAAATATAAATTATGCTTTAAGGTATAACTTGAGGTGTTCACATTGATGTACATGTTTACACCGATATAAATTATGCCTTAAACATCAATGTGTAATTTATAACACACAAGTCCCTGTGCATTATATCTCCGTGTATAATTCTATTAATCCTATGGAATGGATAGTTATACATGTACAAGATGAAACAGAACATAACTTCCATTAGTGTATACAAAATAAGTACAAGTTACAAATGTATACATATCCATGTATAGACATCTAAAACACTACATATGGCTTCATGAATATCTCTAATAATCAACAAATAAAGGATCATTTCTTCTACCAGTCATCGTCTTATCAATCTCTAGGGTAAGTACAAAAATATAAAATGACAAGATGACATACAATTTATCTGTTTAGCTGAACACTAGAACAATTAAGAACATCAAACATTCTTAATTATATACACGGATATGCTGGACATCACATGGTATCCTAAGATCTGGTCCATTCTGGTAAGATCTATACAGAACAAGATCATTCTGACATCACAAGGTATCTAGAAGGTCTCCAGTGAACAAGATCATTCTGACATCACAGGATAAGGATTTTCTCCTTTCTGGCTATGTTAAAATATAATTTTGGGACAGGATTTGGTACAGTTACTCCCCTTTTGTTGTTCTCCTCCATGGGTCATCAATGAAGTACCACCTCTCTTTCCAATAAGGTATCACACCACCTTGTATTTCCTTGGACCTTTCATAAGGTATCACACCCCCTTGTATTTCCAAGGGATCTTCTCCATGGTCTCATCACCAAATACCCAGAGTGCTCCCTTGTCCTTTTTAGAGCTCCTTAAAAAATACAAAGAATACAGAGTTAACACTCTTCCTAATGATCAATATTTAATAAAACCTACAAGTGATTCCCAACTATCACAGTGTTAGATATTAAAGATACATAGGAAAACTGATCATTTCTAATCTGATTTTTGGTATCGCAAACTGAGTGTCCTGTCTGTTGCCCTAGCTGCCACTACCAGACAGCCAGTGCACCTACACAGAGGTGTACTCCACACCATAATTATTAACGGAAGCAGTCACATGAATTCACAGAAAGCAATATCAACATGGCATTAAATGTAAAGAAGATATGTATTTTTTTTGATGTGTTAAGTAAATAATCCACTCCCGTAAGGAGACCAAGGAATGTAAGCCTGCCCACACAAACATACATACCACAGGCAAGCTGTGACGTGACTAACAATAAAATAGGCAGACTAAGATTTAAACATGATACAAAACATGGATGTCACTATTAATCTAACCTGTTCTCAAAGACTCATGGGCAGAACACTGACACTATTGTGGTGGATCCTCCCTATAGGGTAAGGGGTGTTCAGTGGATAACACATTACTATAGGGTAAGGGATGTTCAGTGGATAACACATTACTATAGGGTAAGGGATGTTCAGTGGATAACACATTACTATAGGGTAAGGGATGTTCAGTGGATAACACATTACTATAGGGTAAGGGATGTTCAGTGGATAACACATTACTATAGGGTAAGGGATGTTCAGTGGATAACACATTACTATAGGGTAAGGGATGTTCAGTGGATAACACATTACTATAGGGTAAGGGATGTTCAGTGGATAACACATTACTATAGGGTAAGGGATGTTCAGTGGATAACACATTACTATAGGGTAAGGGATGTTCAGTGGATAACACATTACTATAGGGTAAGGGATGTTCAGTGGATAACACATTACTATAGGGTAAGGGATGTTCAGTGGATAACACATTACTATAGGGTAAGGGATGTTCAGTGGATAACACATTACTATAGGGTAAGGGATGTTCAGTGGATAACACATTACTATAGGGTAAGGGATGTTCAGTGGATAACACATTACTATAGGGTAAGGGATGTTCAGTGGATAACACATTACTATAGGGTAAGGGATGTTCAGTGGATAACACATTACTATAGGGTAAGGGATGTTCAGTGGATAACACATTACTATAGGGTAAGGGATGTTCAGTGGATAACACATTACTATAGGGTAAGGGATGTTCAGTGGATAACACATTACTATAGGGTAAGGGATGTTCAGTGGATAACACATTACTATAGGGTAAGGGATGTTCAGTGGATAACACATTACTATAGGGTAAGGGATGTTCAGTGGATAACACATTACTATAGGGTAAGGGATGTTCAGTGGATAACACATTACTATAGGGTAAGGGATGTTCAGTGGATAACACATTACTATAGGGTAAGGGATGTTCAGTGGATAACACATTACTATAGGGTAAGGGATGTTCAGTGGATAACACATTACTATAGGGTAAGGGATGTTCAGTGGATAACACATTACTATAGGGTAAGGGATGTTCAGTGGATAACACATTACTATAGGGTAAGGGATGTTCAGTGGATAACACATTACTATAGGGTAAGGGATGTTCAGTGGATAACACATTACTATAGGGTAAGGGATGTTCAGTGGATAACACATTACTATAGGGTAAGGGATGTTCAGTGGATAACACATTACTATAGGGTAAGGGATGTTCAGTGGATAACACATTACTATAGGGTAAGGGATGTTCAGTGGATAACACATTACTATAGGGTAAGGGATGTTCAGTGGATAACACATTACTATAGGGTAAGGGATGTTCAGTGGATAACACATTACTATAGGGTAAGGGATGTTCAGTGGATAACACATTACTATAGGGTAAGGGATGTTCAGTGGATAACACATTACTATAGGGTAAGGGATGTTCAGTGGATAACACATTACTATAGGGTAAGGGATGTTCAGTGGATAACACATTACTATAGGGTAAGGGATGTTCAGTGGATAACACATTACTATAGGGTAAGGGATGTTCAGTGGATAACACATTACTATAGGGTAAGGGATGTTCAGTGGATAACACATTACTATAGGGTAAGGGATGTTCAGTGGATAACACATTACTATAGGGTAAGGGATGTTCAGTGGATAACACATTACTATAGGGTAAGGGATGTTCAGTGGATAACACATTACTATAGGGTAAGGGATGTTCAGTGGATAACACATTACTATAGGGTAAGGGATGTTCAGTGGATAACACATTACTATAGGGTAAGGGATGTTCAGTGGATAACACATTACTATAGGGTAAGGGATGTTCAGTGGATAACACATTACTATAGGGTAAGGGATGTTCAGTGGATAACACATTACTATAGGGTAAGGGATGTTCAGTGGATAACACATTACTATAGGGTAAGGGATGTTCAGTGGATAACACATTACTATAGGGTAAGGGATGTTCAGTGGATAACACATTACTATAGGGTAAGGGATGTTCAGTGGATAACACATTACTATAGGGTAAGGGATGTTCAGTGGATAACACATTACTATAGGGTAAGGGATGTTCAGTGGATAACACATTACTATAGGGTAAGGGATGTTCAGTGGATAACACATTACTATAGGGTAAGGGATGTTCAGTGGATAACACATTACTATAGGGTAAGGGATGTTCAGTGGATAACACATTACTATAGGGTAAGGGATGTTCAGTGGATTACACATTACTTTCCACCAAGGTGGTTTGGGTTCAGTTCCCTGAGTTGATGTAAAAAGGTATGGGGTCACCTGCAGAACCATTCAGGTTTACTCCAGGTTATCTGGTTGCCTTCCTCATTTTAAACCCCCCACAATCTAGCATCCGAGTCAACAAGAATGATTAATATACATGTTAGTTGAAATAACTTGTTTCATAATGTTGTAAAATAAATAAAGTTCCTATTTATACTGTAATACAATGAATGACAGAGTTACTGTTTAGGGGAAATATTACTCTTAGAACAATACAGTTTCATCCTTTAAGTCATGACATTTAGGTTAATGTTTTTACTGATATATTTCAACTGTTAATACAAACCTACATGTTATAAATATAAAACGGTTAGCTTATAACTGAATAAATTATATCAAAGTACTCAGACACATGCTTTCCTCATGTTGCAATATTTCTATAATTATATAACATTTTAGGAAAATAGAACACAATACAGTCTGTTAAGATGCAGGATAAACACCATTCAAATGTGTTGAAACTGATTTGAACGAATATTTATTCTTATTAAATGTCTGTGTTGGCATTAGTCTGAAATGTGTTTTCCCTCCAAGGACCAACCACAAGTACTGCTTCAAGAAGCTTTTTGCTCTGCTTCTGCCATAAATAAAGAGTGGACTTCCAAATGTATATTTATATGACTGTTGCAATATCTCCTTAGTGCCTATTGGTAGAGGGTGTAACACATATTTCCTACAGACCAGCACCATACAGTGCACGTGTGTCACAAATGTGACAAATGGTCAAAAAGGATTTTGCCATGGGTCATATGTCAGTTAACTTCTTCGTAGGTTTATGTCAATGGTAACAGTATGAAACTTAAATTGATTCCTCTTACCAAACAAAGAAGTATAAAAAGTTTAACTATACTAGCGGAAAAAAGAAACTGTGCATGCGGAGAATTGTTATAGAACATGTATTACCAACTGTATATACATGAAAGTTCATGTTTTTCTCGTCCAGTCACCAATTTGACAATGAATGTTCATTGGTTTGGTGTGGAGCATCCTTTGGTAAAGGGGAACCAATTTTGTATAAACTGTGAGTGTGGCCCCCCCTGGGACCTGAGGGTGGGGCCCAATAGGGGAAATAGAGGTAAAACCTTTATAATCCTTCTACCATAGGGATTAAGGGATATTATCCTTATTTAGTCTGGAGCATCCTAATGGGCCAAGGGGACTCAATTTTGTATAAGCAGTGGGTGTGGTCTCCCAGGGGACAGAAGGGCGGGGCCCAATAAGAGAAATAGAGGTAAAACCTTTAAAATCCTTCTTCGACCATTGGGATTAAGGGATTTTATCCTAATTTAGTCTGGAGCATCCTTGGGTCAAGGGGACTCAATTTTATATAATTGGTGGGTATGACCCCCCCTAGGGGCATAGGGGTGGGGCTCTTGTTTGAATTTGTTCTCGCTATATCTCAAGTACTGGATGGATCTTTCTGAAATTTCATATGTACTTACAGCACCTTACTTTAATCTACTATACACAATCCCTGTGGAAATCCACTTTTATTGATGAACTCTTTTCTCTTGGAAATTATTATTATGCCGCTGTATCAGCTAATCAAAAGCGACGTTACAAACGGTGACGTCACTTTTTTTACGTTATGGGGAAATTCTTAAGCCAATGAAAGCTTGTTTCAAGCAGGAATAAATTATTATATTATATACAGATTGTCAAGCCTCTTGTGGTTTAATAATGCTCAGTAAGTTACACAAGAGTATGTGCATGGGACTACACACTGACATACTGCATGTATGTGTACTTATACAAGTATTTGATACACAGACAGTTATGCCAGTGAGCTTGGACAGTTAGGACCAGGGTGAGGGTGGGGGTACCTTTTACCCAGCTCTCCTTGGCAATACATCTCACTAATAATTTTTTATCAGAAAGTCCCCCATGCTTCATAACAGTCCTCAATTAGATATATTTCTTCAAATAGGTAGCAATTTTCAACTTAAACATATTCAGATTTTAATATTGTTTGTAACATGAACTATAGTTTTGTTACAAAATGCAACAGCCAATGCGGAAAGTGACTAGGTGGGGAGGATATGTGAGGGAGCTATATATGGCCTTAACTAGAAGGGAGGTCACCCTCAAGGAAAATTTTGAATTTTTGATGAGAGATCATGTATCCCGAGTGTATCAAAAAAACTTCATATGTGATAAAATGGATTCGTTGGACACTTT